TGCACAGCACACATATAGAGCTACGTCTCAGGCAACGTGTGAGCACCGAATTGACTTTCTTTCCACTTCTCCTTGCCCTTGATCGAACAAATATATATATATAAAAAAGTGTGTCAAAATACCGTCTTGTTGAGTATGCGCAAAAACAGTTGGTTATGACTTAAGTAAACAAAAGAAATTCGATGTGCATCACTATATTGTATACGTGCATGGTTTCTTACAGAGGCCACGACTAATTTACCAGCTGCTGTCGATGTCCTTAATGTTAATCAAAAAAAAAAAAGAAAGAAAATCACTCACTGATAGATAACATGGGCAAAAAAAAAAACACTATGATAGCAACAACTTTGTTTTTTGTTTGTTTTTTATAGCAGGGCCAGTGAAAATGTTTGCAGGGCAAGTAAAAACTGAACCAGCAGTAGAAAAAATCCTTAGCCTTGAGCCCTGTATTGTATGCAAAGAAGAGGCCATTGCTTAGGCTAAGGCATTTGTTAAACAAAATGTATTGGTTTTGAAAACAAAGTGATGACATTTATAAAGCTTTCAATGACTAAAGTATATTTAAAGTGTTTGTTAATATTTGTGGAAAATAAAAATAAACAGATAGATGCAAAGGATTTTAAGATTTTAAGGTGACTTTTCATTCATGAGTTAAATTTCAATTTAATGCTAATTGTAGACAATTAGTTGTAAACATATTTTCACAGGCTTACTCTGATTATGGGATTGTACAGTTTTATGGTCATTTTAGTTGTGCAGTCTCTTTGGACAATTTTTAATACTTTAATAATTTACCATCTGACCAAAAAATTCAAAGACTCTGTGTACTGTGTACTAGATCAAGAGATGACGTTTATGAGAAAATTATGTTCATGTTTAAATATCAATGTCTCACACACTCTTTCTTGTTTGAAATAGAAAGCACATATTATATTATACAGAACACAACATAAAAATACAAACGAAGGCAGAAAAAAAAGGCTTCTTGTTTAAAAAGTAGTTGTAGAAACAACCTGGATGCATGATCATTCCATTGCAGGGCTAACATACATGCTCACCTATATGGTGCATGTCTTTGGATTGGCAGCGGCTATTTGCACTAAGTGAAAATAGCAAATTTTCTTAGCGATAGATGTTATTTACACTAAGTGCAGATGGCGAGATTCTATTTACACTATGTTAAAATAGCAGGATTTTCTGCTATTTATACTACTTATTGCAAATAGTGGCAATTATCTGCACCTCAGTATTATTGTACATTATAAAACAGTATGCAGCAATAACGTATTGAGTGTAAATTATAATTTTAATTCAAAATATCAATTACGGGGCCAAGCACTCCAGAGGCAAAATGAAAGTGAAAGTGACGTGACATGTGGCCAAGTATGGTGACCCATACTCGGAATTAGTGCTCTGCATTTATCCCATCCAAAGTGCACACACACAGCAGTGAACACACACACACACACACACCATGAACACACACCCGGAGCAGTGGGCAGTCATTTTTTTTGCTGCGGCGCCCGGGGAGCAGTGTGGGGTTCGGTGCCTTGCTCAAGGGCACTTCAGTCCTGGTATTGAAGGTGGGAGAGAGCGCTGTACATTCACTCCCCCCACCTACAATCCCTGCCGGTATGAGACTCGAACCCCGCAACCTTTGGGTTACGAGTCCGACTCTCTAACCATTAGGCCACGACTTCCCATGAGGAGCTAAGCATGGCATGTAGCATCAGACCAAATGCAACAATGAGTAATAAAAGCAATTTTAGGATGATTGTAATTGAAATGGCTGAAAAATCATAAATACAACCTCTAGTAATATGATTAAATGGCTTATCACTTTTGACCAACAAGTGGCGCTGTAATGAAATCCTTTTGGTGTGTTCTGTGTGAGGTGATATTGACACACACAAAGTTTGTTGTCATTATGTCAAAGCTTTGCAGAGATAAAGCCTCAGAGTCATTTTGGCATCATGCCTTAAATTTGTAGTGGCACTGTACGAAAACGGTTTTGTCTATTGACACGAAATCCATAACTTTTTGTCAGCACAGTCTGAAGATGATTTGACTCGATTTTGGTGAAAATTGGACAAACGGTTGAGGAGGAGTTTGAATTTTTTAGAATCGATTTTCAACATGAATCAAAATGGCGGACAGGAAGTTCAGCCAATTATGGCAAAATCAGTATCGATGTTCTCGGCATGATCCAAGGAATCTATCAATATCTGTCTCATTACAATGTAAGCAAAAGTTATTAGCATTTTCAGCAATTTCATTATAACTTTTGGCCATTATAACTTTTAGGTACTACTGCCCCCAAACTTTTTGAGTACCATCAGGGCATGGTGTCGAAGATGCATACCGAGTTTCGTAACGACAAGTCAATGCGTTCATAAAATATTGCATATTATGACAAAATTCAAAATGTCCGACGCCCAAAATGGCTGACATGGGAAAATTGGATATGGTTTGACTCAGCATGCTCCACCGAATCTAAAGAGACCATTTTTGGCCAAACTATTCAGAAGTTATAAGCAAAAAGAGCCATTTTTCATATCTCTTGACCACTAGGTGGCACTTTGCCGAAACACTGCATGTAGCCTCAGGTCATGCTTGTTATAACACACACCAAGTTTGGTCTTGATATGCCAAACCGTTGCGGAGATATAGCCTCACATCCATTTCTGTGTGCTTTTCGTAGAATTCGTTTGCGCGTTATTCGAGAGCGGTTGGACAAATTGACTTGAATTCTATAACTTTCTGCCAGTATGGTCTGAAGATGATCTGAGCCAATTTTGGTGAAAATCTGACAAACCGTCTAGGACGATTAAAGTAGTTCGAAAAAGTAGGTTTTACGAACAATTAAAAATAGCGAAAAAACTAAACCTTACGATTTTAGAATCGACTGGACTCGACATGAGCCAAGGAATCAGAGGAAAAAAGAATTTTCCTTGTGTGTCTTACGGTTCAAAAGTTATTAGCATAAACGTGAGTGAAAATGTTATAAGCAAAAAGAGCCATTTTTCATATCTCTTGACCACTAGGTGGCACTTTGCCGAAACACTGCATGTAGCCTCAGGTCATGCTTGTTATAACACACACCAAGTTTGGTCTTGATATGCCAAACCGTTGCGGAGATATAGCCTCACATCCATTTCTGTGTGCTTTTCGTAGAATTCGTTTGCGCGTTATTCGAGAGCGGTTGGACAAATTGACTTGAATTCTATAACTTTCTGCCAGTATGGTCTGAAGATGATCTGAGCCAATTTTGGTGAAAATCTGACAAACCGTCTAGGACGATTAAAGTAGTTCGAAAAAGTAGGTTTTACGAACAATTAAAAATAGAGAAAAAACTAAACCTTACGATTTTAGAATCGACTGGACTCGACATGAGCCAAGGAATCAGAGGAAAAAAGAATTTCCCTTCTGTGTCTTACGGTTCAAAAGTTATTAGCATAAACGTGAGTGAAAATATGGACAAGTGGTGACGCTAGAGAGTTTGAGTTAGAGACTCCAAATTTGCTGTGGTTAATGTTGAGTCTGTGCTCTATCAGAGCGCCAAATTTCAAAACTTTCCCGCAAGCGATTCTATGGGCTGCCATAGACTTCCAGAGCGGAAGAAGAAGAAAAAGAACGCCAATGGATACAATAGGTGCCATCGCACCTTCGGTGCTTGGCCCCTAATTATTAAATGGATGCCACCTTATTGGGACAATAAAGCCCTCCGTACACCTACCCGATATTTTATTTTCAACATTTTGATTATTTCCTTCATTTTTACTGAAAATAAATGCCTTTCCGATGTGATATGAGATTTGAAAAGTGAGAAAAAAAAGTTAGGTAAAAGGCAGATTCGAACTCGGGTCGATCGCGTCAAAGAGACTACGATACATGCTTTACCATCTACACCACTAGAGCTAATGATTGTTTGCCATCTTTTATAGTGTTGACCAGCCCTATCATAGGATCCCTATAATTCCAATTAATAAATGGATGCCACTTTATTGGGACAATAAAGCCCACCCTAAACCTACCCGATACGTAATTTTCAACTTTTTGATTATTTCCTCCATTTTTATTGAAAATAAATGCCTTTCCGATGTAATATGAGATTTGAAAAGTGAGAAAAAAAAGTTCGGTAAAAGGCAGATTCGAACCCGGGTCGATCGCGTCAAAGAGACTACGATACATGCTTTACCATCTACACCACTAGAGCTAATGATTGTTTTCCATCTTTTATAGTGTTGACCAGCCCTATCACACGTTTGTGGGTGGAACTAGTGTAAATAGTCTCTGCCAACAACGAGCTATTTGCACTTAGTGTAAATAGACACTCAGCTTTGGATTTTGGGGGAAGCCAGTGGGAGAACATGCAAACTCTGCAAAGAAAGGTCCTCTGGTTCAGCCAGGACTCAAAACAGTGACCTTCTTGATGTAAGGCGACAGTGCTACTAGGAGATAGGACTAACTGCAGAACCGCAGAACCATACGGACCCAAGTGCACATGAATGCCTTGTCCAAATACCCACACTTGCGGTCTTGGCCACTTGAGAGCGCGTGCGTGCGACAGGAAGTAAGTGCGCAAGACTGTCCCAGGTCTTAAAAACGACAGAGCACAGTGCCCTTAACGCACACTAAATCCACACTATTGCCTTGTCCAAATACCCACACTTGTGGTCTTTGCACTTGAACACTTGACTACTTCTATGACGTATTTCCTGACCCTTAGCTAAAGTCGTTTAACATCAGCATGTGCGCATCAATTAGCTTTTTGTTAAAGCTAAGTTAGCTTGTCTCTTTGATATATTATCGTGTCTATTATTATTTATAATAACTGCAACTGAGTTGGTGAGCTTAAAGGGTTATGCTAAAGGTTTATGCTGAAAGTTTCAGTTAGTCTTGAAATGTAACGCTTTTTTTTCTCTGTTTTAGGTGTTCATGGAGTTCTAATTAACGTTACAGGATTATGGGCAAGAATCTCAAGCAAAGCGCCATAAGAGAGAGAAAGTTGGGCAGCTGTTGACAGCTTTCACAACAAATCAAGGTTGGTCCATATCCATTATAGATTTGCATTGCATAGTTTTTAACAGCTTAAGTAATGAAAATGTATACAAAAAGTTCACAATATTGGTTGTATAATGCAATCAAAATTGTGCTTGAGTGGTTCTGCTTTCTTGTGATCATTTCTTTAATTTTATTCATCAGTGATTAATTTTACTCCCCAACAGACTAAAGAGCCAACTAATACTAGGTCTCTGGTGCTCAGAGGACTCCCTATCGTCCTTGGCGACAAACCTACAGATTTCTACAAAGTATGCTTTGTAAGTAACCTCTGTTTTCTCTCAGAATATCTAAAAGGACATAAAAACATAATCATTTCACCATTAATTGATAGTTCCTGTGTTTTATAAAACCTCTGAGAATAAAACCTAAACCATTAACTTATTATGATAGCTCTTTTAGCCTCTTTGGGTGATCTGTTTGCTTAAAGGGTTAGTTCATCCAACATTTGCTCACCCTCATGTCGTTACAAACCCTTTGGACTCAAGTTTTTAAGAGTTAATTTTTGAAATACAATTTTAAGCATAGTTCACCCAAAAATGAAATTTTAAAGTAAAATTTAAACTTTAAAGGTTTTAGCTAAACCTGTGGTCCTTGGTGATTGATATAAAACAGTCAATGGAAACGGTCATTTTTGATAGTTAAAAAAAACATGCACAGGCAAAACAAAATTAATACCTGTGGATCCTGACCATACACTGAGGTCTTACATTTTGATGATGACCAATACAACACACAATGCTTGCACTCCAGACATTTGTAAACACGCTCGGGACTATTTGCTGGGGCTGTGGATTAAAGGTGATAATGCTGTAAATAATGTTCAGTTTATTGCACAGACTGATTGTTTTGCTTCATAAGACCTCAATGTATCGTCAGGAGACACGGGTATTAATTTTGTTTTGCCTGTTTTTTGTTGTTGTTTTTGTTTTACTCCAAGTGATGGTAGCCATTGACTTGCATTAAATGAATCACCAAGGACCACAGTTACAGCTAATAAAACTCAGCTACACCTTGGATGTCCTGAGGATGTATAAATTAACAGCAGAGTTTCATTTTTGCGTGAACTGTTTTAACTTAATCATAAGTTTCTGTCCCTACATTAAAAGTCCATGTTACCAAAATGTAAATAATCATTGTAATGGAACATCATAAGTTTCTGTCCCTACATTAAAAGTCCATGTTACCAAAATTTAAATAATCATTGTGAAGACAGAACTCCAGCAGTCGTAACAAATTGCTTAACATTATTGATGGTTATGTAATGAGAAATTTCATGAATGTGCTCTTATGTTGTTAGGACTCTGATGATGATTACTGATGACATTGGAATCCTCCTCGAGCATGAATGTGACGTGCTCTCATCTTCTCTCCATCTCAATCCAGCCTCATTGAAGATCATCATTGAAGGAGAAGTTGTGATGGACAATATTGACGACTTGCCAAAAGCTATGTGCATTCTGTATGGACTTGCATACGCACTGCATCTCAACTACCCTAAATCTATGAAGAACACATTCCAGTTCATCCAACAGGTACTTCTCATGTTGGCCCAATCCAAGGTTGCAAACTCTGAAAAAACAGCTTACAATGTAAGGAAATGCGAGAAGCTTCCATGAGAAGCCACTTGTGCTTTGCTGTATAAGACATTAAAGTGTGTTCTGTCACTGCATATTAGTGCTGTTAGTGCTCAGTTAATGTGTGTTCACACAATTCTTCAGCCAAGTTTAAAGTTTGAGACATACCTCCGTTTTAATGCATGCCCAGTTTTTAATGCATATCCAGGCATTCACAAGGGATATAGCATATATTGTTGAATACTGTGTGTTCATGTTTCTTCTACAAAATAGTTACAATTGTTAGTAAGCTGTTTCAAAGCTTATTTTTACTTGTCTAGTGGCTGAAAAGTTTAATGCATTGTCGTGTTACCATTTCTTTGGTGAAAAATAAAAAAACATTTGTGCATTGAAATCTGTTTTTCTTTTTTTCCAATTTATTTGAAACAATGTTTAATACAATAAATCTCAAAATCTATGTCTAATTACATTGACATTACATAAATATAACATTTATCATTACTTAAAAACATTTGTTAATGTTATTTGTTAATATATATATATATTTTTGTAGTTGTAACTTGCAAGTTATTTTAAGTATACTCCAAATAATAATTGATGTGAACTAATGATTTTGAGTAAAGACTACTAATGTAAACTTGATTTGTCTACTGCATAAACTTAAGGTTCTATGTTCATTCAACTAAAGCTGTTTAGTTTCAATTTGTGTAAAAACTAAAATGGTTTAGTGCAACGGGTTTCTTTGCAAATTTCTAGTAAAGTCAACTAATTCGGCTTAAGAGTGTGGAATCAAATAGAACACAATCAGGGAACAGGAACAACCAAATATGGGCATAAAGAAACAAGAGGCAGGAACACAGGGAAAACAAAACAAAAACCGACCACAAAACTTCTCTGCATGAGCTTGCCTTTCCCATATCCTGCATTGGCATGAATATAAAGGGAAGTCAATAGAATGAAACGTGTAGTGTGACTGGCCCTTTACGTGTACTTATTTAAATAAAGCGAATTTAACACATATACCCTGAACTCTCAGTTTATTAAGTTGCATGCATACTCATATTATGTTGGTTCCAAAACACCTGTGAAGACTTCAATAAAGGCCTGGGTGTGTTACATGAGAACATGTTGGTTTTAAGGTTTGTGAGGTAAAATAAAATTGACATTGAAGTATTTTATAATAGTGCTTTATAATTATTTTATAAATTATATAACTTTATTATACATTATTTTGCATAAACTGTGCCATTACACCCACTGGAGCATCATCAAAAAGGTATGCATGCGCCAAATTCCTCTAAAGCTGAGAAGCCTGTACATGTAGTGAACTAACTCTGGTTCAGAAAGTTGCTATGGCTACTAAAATACTGTACCTTGAATGTCTCAGGTTTTGTTTTTTGTTTTTCAAGCTGAAGATATCCATTTACTTTTCTGTAAACTTACCCAGGCATGTTGCATAACCTGCTTTCTGGAATAACCCCATGGTATCAGATTAGTCCCACCCAGAGGCGGACAGTAACTTAGTACATTTACTTGAGTATTGTACTTAAGTACACTTTTTGAGTATCTGTACTTTACTTGAGTATTATTTTTTCTGGGAACTTATGACTTTAACTTCACTACATTTGAAAGACAAATATTGTACTTTTCACTCCACTACATTTCTATCAAGGTCCTCGAAGTAGAAAGTCATTACTATGTGGCAGCTTTGAAAGTCAGTGGGTGATTTTTTTCTTCTCTAAAACGTGACTTTCTTTTTTTCAGACAGTTTATCAGTAATCACTCTTGTAGGGCTATATGAAGTGATTTCCCAGCATTTTTTGAAATCTGACCAGTTGCAAATGCAACAATTCAATAATAAGAAGTTAATATTGTGGTATACATTACACACAATATTGTCTGATTTTGCTAAATTGTGTAGGTGAAAATATTACCTATAAAGCCACAGAAGAACTGTTGTGCCTCTCCTAATAAAACACAATAGGTGTTGGACTGTAGCAGCACTGCACAGACCGTTCTGTGTGTGACATCAAAGAAGTACTACGTACAACAATAAAACAGTGCATTGACATAATAAAGGAAATTTACTTTTGGTACTTAAGTACTTTTAAAAGCAAGTACTTCTTTTGTACTGTCTTTACAACTTTTACTTGTAATGGAGTAATATTTGACCAGCAGTATCTGTACTTTCACTCAAGTAATGGAGTTGAGTACTTTGTCCGCCTCTGGTCCCACCTGTCCATTATTTCCCCCTCATTTTCTTGTGTATACACTTCCTTATTTGCATCAGTTCTTGATTTGTTCTCATCCATGTCTTCAACCAACTGTGACAAGTTTTTTGCCCATGCTTCTATGAGCTTTTCAGGAATGACAATTTTTTTTTTCAGGATGACAAATGCAAATAGACAATGTAAGGTACACATTGACTAAATTGTAGCTGTTTGGCTCGCACTTAAAAAAAAATACTTGTTTAAGCTTTTATGTTGATACAGTGTACACACTTTCAAAAAAATAGGTACTGTGGCTGTCACTGGGGAGATACCCTTTCAAAATGTACACTTTTGTACTTTATTTACCTCCAATTGGTAATTATTAATACCTAAAGTGTACATATTAGTACCTAAATGCTACATATTAGCACCTTTTGAAAGGGTACTGACCCAGTGACTGATTTTGCACCATTTTGATTTGTTCATTGCATCTGTCATGTGGCGAATGCATTGCAATGCATTATAATGATTTCCTAACTTGTAATATGATCAGATATTGCATATGTGCACATTCACAAGAGACACAGATTAGTTCATTTTGTCAAACGAGAGAGTCAGTAAAATTATCCATTCTTTTTATCTTAGAGTCCTTCTTTGTCTTCAATTTTTTTGTGGCAGTTGGCACACAAAGTAAAGTGAATTAACAATCTGGTAGCCTAAGTGTGGATCAGGATTTCTTTATTTGTCTGTTGAATTGTGAGCTAAATTATGTCCTCTTATCTAACTGTTGCTTTAGTTTTATATATATATATATATATATATATATATAAACATTCATCATCTGAATTTCTTTTCAAAAAGTTTAGAAATTAATTCCTTTAATTATAAATATTTGAGTCAGATCATCATCGCATCATCTTTTTTCCAAAATTCATATTTCCCTGTATTATGTTTCCCTCTTCTGTGTAATGTACTATTAAGAGCTATATGTCGGAACCTAGGTCTGTAGATTATGGTTTTCTTTCTCTTCCTGCTATTTTATGTTTTGGTGAATTGGTGGCGAATTTCTATGAATGCATATAATCTTATTTATATGTTTTCGTACGTTGTTATTATTATTTTTTTTACGCTGCACTATTGGTTAGATTTAAGAGTGTGTTAGTAGTGGACTTTCATGCTTATGTCTTCGTTTTGGTTTTTGTTTTTAAACACACATTTCTGTTTTACAGAATCACAGGACTCATACGAACAAACTCAAACAAAATCGTCATAAAATAATTTTCTCATGAGATTTCTCATGATTAGGTTGAAATGTTATTACACTATCTACCCTCTATTCCTCCTCACGTTTTGCCATCTGCTCCTCGTTCATTGTTTAATTTATACAGAGTGTCTATTTACACTAAGTGCAAATAGCCCGCCTTGTTGGCAGAGGCTATTTACACTAACTCCGCCCACCAACGTGTGATGCGGCTAGTCAACATTACAAAAGACAGTATCAGCTCCAGAAACCGCTAGCTATCAGCTCCAGTGGTGCAGATGGTAGAATGTGTGTCGTAGGCCTACTCATTTTGACCCGGTTTCAAATCCGCCTTTTGGCGAACTTTTTTTTCTCCCTTTTCGAATTTCAAATCACATCAGAAAAGCATTTATTTTCAATGAAAATGAAAATAATCAAAAAGTTGAAAATAAAGTATCAGGTAGGGTTAGGGTAGGTGTAGAGAGGGTTTTATTGTCCCAATAAGGTGGCATCCATTTAATAATTTTAATTAAATTTAAACCTTACACTCAATAAGTTATTATTGCATACTGTTTTATATTGTACTACAATACTGAGGTGCAGATAATTGCCACTATTTGCAATAAGTAGTATAAATAGCAGAAAATCCTGCTATTTTAACATAGTGTAAATAGCATCTATTGCTAAGAAAATATGCTATTTTCACTTAGTGAACTGAAGCCACCAAAGTACCATATCTGTGATGCCTAAGACAGAGAAGGTGGCCAGGAGAATCTGGTTCGCTTTTTTCAGAGTTTCAGCAACGGTCAGCAAGGTGGTCTCCGTGGAGTGTCTGCTTTTGAAGCTGGATGTCTGCTTTTGAAGCTTGACTGCTTGTTGTTAAGTAGGTAATTCTGTAAAAGAAAAGCAAACAGCTAATTGAACACAACTCTATCAAGCATTTTAGACAGAAAAGGCAGAAGAGAGACTGATCTATAATTTACAACTGCTGTGGGGTTACGTGTTGGCTTTTTGAGGAGTGGGGTTACCCGAACCTGCTTAAATACGGTGGGAAATTTTCCAGTAGCAATGGATATGTTGATGATGTAAGTGAGAGTGGGTAGCAATGTTTGTGAGGTCTCTTGTAGTAGATGGAAGGGGACATGGTCTGATGAACAGGTTGAGGGACAGCTGGTACAGAGAACTTTGGAGACCTCATTCTCTGTAAAGGCGAGGATGGAAGAGAATAAATGAATGTGTGGGTGGAGGTCAGCTGTGGGTACAGAACAGGTTGCTGATGGTTGCTTCCTTGTCAGTGAAGTAGCT